TATACTAACCTAACCTGACATCAACCATCCATCCTTTTCTTGCAGTACAGGTCTCTGTTCGCCCAGTGGCGCCTGGTTACAACAGCCTCGCTTGTGTCAGGGAGCCTCAGGGAAGCTGTAGCTACAATGTAGCTCGCCACATTCAGTGAGTGGGTGTATTGGTGAATTGGTCGTAAAATCTGTACGATGACTAAAGTGTGATATCCCGGAAACAAGTGGCTGAAATGAGCTCTCTGGGCACTCTCTTAGAGGTTCCGGGCTGACTCCTCCAAATGAAGACAGCGAGTAGGGGTACGGTATGATTTGAATTATTGTCCATCAAGCTCTTCTTAACCTATACTTCATATGCACATAAAAAACATGGAAAAGTTTCTGTAAGTACATTTAAAGGTAAAATAAAAAATGTATATAAGGTGCTGTGATGATTTTCTAAGTGAGGGTTATTGGGGGCGTACAGGTGGTGCAGTGGTTGGCGTACAAAACCCATGTGTGGAGGCTTAATCCTCGGCGCGGCTGACCCGGGTTAAAATCCTACCTGTGGTCCTTTGCTGCATGTCGCTCCCCCACCCTCATACCCCCTGTCCTGTCAGCCTACTGTTGTAAAAACAAGCCACTAATAATGTAAAAACTCAACAACAAAACAAAGTGAGGGTTATGTTTTTATGACAGTAGGATTCACTTTGGGCTTAGCCGCCATGGATTCGCTATTAGCTTCAGTTTCCATTGAAAGAAAACATTAAATAGGATTTTTTTCAAAACAGAAACGCATACACCCATTTACTGTAGGTCAATTATTAAGTAATGGAACCTTTACACAAATATTCAGGACTTTCCCTTTAAGCTAGTGCTAGAGTCAGATTTAATTTTAATCCATGGGCTGCTCAATACTGCTAGGAAAAGGAAAAAATATTGTAAAAACTTGGCCAAGATGCTAAACATTCTAACCAATAATTGGATCGACAGAGTTTTGAATGATTCCCCTTTACCTCCATCTCCGCTCCACACAAAGAACAAATGGAAAGTCAGAGCCCCACAGGCAGCAGAGAAGAAACATGGGAAGTAATGCCTCAGAGCGAAGTGAGAGCTCATCACCTCTACGCTGAACAACACACCTACACCACAAAAGTAAGAAGCAAAAATAACAACGAGTGAGCTTCTAGTGCCTTCTGATTGTTGATGGAAGCTATTTCCAGAGTTAGGAATAATTGCTTGCTGTGTGTCAGGTATTAATAGACAATCTTTTTCAATATGTTAATTGTGACATTTCAGGGTTGGTCTCACCCTCTGAATTTAAAAATTCAATGGGTCTGCAGTACACAATGGTAAAACAAAATGACAAATAAGGGGGCAAAAGCTGAAAAAGCAGGTTGATAAAAAATAATTCTTTAAATTTGCAAAATATTATAAAAACCTAATGTATTTTCTCTCACCCAATAAAATAATTGTGTACCAAAAGCCAGGTTTTCTTATTGTGTAAAAAAAAAAGCTGTAATCAATAATTCATTAAAATGTGTACTGGTCTTTATGCTATGTTTTTTTCTTTGTTTTCTTTTCTGCTTTCTTTGTTAGTCCAGTGTTTATCCATTGTTGTGCCATTGGAATGTGCAAGAAGTCAATATGGGTGTGATACGAAAAAACAAACCCATAAATAAAGATGTTTTTTATTGTCTACTTTTATGTCTCAATGGTGATTAAACACCCCTTTGCTGTTATGGTGCATGTGCAGTAAGAGAAATATGCTAAACTTTGTTTGAGGGTGAATAAAAGAGATTAAATGTAATTTCCAAAGATTAAGTTTGACAGAAAAAAATAGACTTTTATCCTCCTAATAAAAAAAAACAAACAACCATATCTTGTTAAAACGTTTATCATGGTTATACTAAAGGAGAAAAATCAAATGTAAAAATTTCATAATTAATGCATTTAAGTCAAAAGAAGCAAACAAAAACGCAATAGAAATGTAATGCAAGTCATATATTTTCTCTCCCTAATGTCTCACCACTGACTGGAGCTCCGAAGCAGCTTGCTACTCCAACCGCAGCAGCAACCACCAACATTTCTGTTCCTGCCTCCTCCTAAGAATATAAAGCATTAGTTGTGGAGAACAGTTCTTACCTTTATATTCACCAAAATAACTGTAGCTGATTTGTAGTATTTCAGACTGCGTATTAGAGGTAAACAATATGAATTAAAATGATATAAATCTAATTTGTTTTACCTTCTGTTTGCCCTGTATTAGACAGCAAAGCTTGTCCAAATAGGCCCCTACCATGGTGGAAAGATGCACGAATGGCCCCTGGATTTAGAAGACAAAAATGTAAAAACAGAAACAAAAAAAACTGAAGTATTTATTGGTTGCATAAATTCATCTATACGGAAAACAGTTGTACAAAGTGATTACTTACAACTTTGCCGAGGAAAACTGTGCTTCCGGCAGCCAGGGTGCAGATAAGACCCAGAAACTTAGCGAACATATTAGTCAGAGAAAGGTAATGAGGCATTTCCATGCCAGCCAGCATAGCTCTGACCTCTGGTATCCCAGAACCTGAGCAAAACAATGAAATAATAGCTCATGACCCAGAGGGTAAAATAAACAGAAAAGCTCTACTAAGTAAATGGAAATCCTGGAATAATTAAACAGGGATTCTGAGAAAATCTATGTGAGATATAAAGGACAATCTGAGTGGCAGAAAAAGAATTTGTTGCTTGCAAATGCTGAGATATAAAATGCAAGTCTCTATTTTTAATTTTGTTTTCTTTTCCTAGGAGAGAAGAGGTACATAGTATGTTTTTCTTTCAGATTTGTGCAATGATAATAAAAAAAAAAAACTGTCCTCCATCCTGCCAAGCAGTAAGAACATAAACATACACTGACATTTCAGCATTAAAGCCATCGTTACTGGGGTCACTTGAAGCTTTGAAAAAAGGTGATAAAATCATGGTGCATTTCCTTTCACTCCTTCCTGATATCATCTGGACTTTTTCCTCTGACATTTATTTTAGATTGTTACTAGAGAGTGAAGCAAAATTATACTCAAGTCAGGTATTCATCAGTGATAGTTTATATGGGATAAAAACACTTAAAGGGAATTCATAATAAATATGAGCAGATTATTGTTCATGACCAGCCTACTATAGTTACATCTTTACAAACCTGTGGAGAAGGGACTGATGTTATGGGAGAAGGAAGATGCAAAAGCACAGAGGCATGCTGGATACAGCGTCCAGCAGAAAAACTGCAGCAGAATGTGGCCTTCCAGTCTCATATAAAGCCACTGATGAGCTGCAGATGCAATGAAAGAGCATTTTATTATTCTCTAAACTGTCCTCTAAAGGTCTCCATAGCGGCTGAATAAATTCATATGTCTGAGTTTTATTTTGTTTTAATACAAAACACAAAAGCAATATAGCGCATAATTTTTATATGGAAGATACATTTAAGACACTATGAATTAATTTGCATTTAAGCCCATTTTCTCTGGTGCACCTGGACAACATCGGTGACTGGCTTTGAAAAGCCCGTCAGCATCATTTAACAAAAATATAAATGCAGTGATCTATGAATGACTAAGAGGTTTCTTACAATATTATATAATATTATATAATACAATATTATATAATAAATAATCAATAATATCTCTGGATTTTTTTTTTTTTTGCCAAATTTTTTTGTTCATGGTTTCCCAAGAGTGGTGCATGCTGCATTCAGGTGTAGCTAGGAAACTAGGATGTTTTGGTGCTATTACAGCGTTCTGTTCAAGGTTTACTCTTTTCTCAATTTTGTTCAGGAAATATCTTCCTTTTACTTATATTCTGTGTTATGTATTGTGGTTTTGTTAACATTCCAGTGTTATGCCTTAGCTTGTATTATAACATTCCTTTTCATATTTATTCATGTTAATTAGTTGTTTTGTTTAACAGTTCAGGCCCTTCCTCAGCTGATCTCCACTCACCAGTACTACGTCCTGTTAATCTCACTGTCTTGAAGGGTTTGGGTTTTTTTGTTTTCCGTGTGCATATTTTTATTTTCTTTAAGTTCCACCAGATCTTGCCATATTCTGTTGTTTACTTTGTCATTCAACATGTCTTTTTCTTTCTTGTTCTGATTATTGTTTGATAGACGATTTCCACATCAGTTTATTCTTCCGTGTTAAGCTTCCTAGTTTATATATTCAAAGAAAAGGGAAGGCAAGTTTATCTATGTAGCTCATTCCAATAGCATATGAAGGATCTATCAGTATCAGTATTTAACAATGGATTAATAAATACAATTTGCAATTTCTATTTAAAATTCAATTTAAAATGTGTAATTAGGAAATGCTTTAAAGATTAAGATTTAAATTTGAAATTTAAGTTAACAAGTTTTCTTTTTCAGTGATTCTTTAGTTTCTCTGTAAATTCAATGTGCTGTATATAAAAAGAAAGCTACATTGCATTGGCATTAAATAGTCAAAGTTTGTCTTTATATGGTTTTGTTTGATATTTCCCTGGGTTTCTTTCTGTCTTTCCAGATATAATTCCTGCTCCGTCAATTACCCTGCCTTTACTCTGCATTTTATCTGTTTAACTCTTCAGGTATGGTGGATATCACTCTATGTCTGCTCTGTATTTAGGCCCATCGGTTCTATTTTTTTCTCTGCTGGTTTGTTCTTCCGTTTTCTGCTCTGGATTATTTTACCAGTGTTTTCTTAGCCTGTTCCTTCTGTGACACTTTTATAGTATTTTTATTTTTTTTATGTATTAAATCTACATTTTTTCCACAGTCGTGCTCTGCCCACAGGCCCTCCTTCACCAAAACCAAAACAGTTAGTAGTACTTTCCTGGTTGGCATGTATCATTCATCTCTCAGGAGTTGTAACTTAATTTCATCAAACTCTTCCCTTTCTCTGTCACTGTCTGTGATTCAGTCTGCCCTTCCAGGGGTTTGCAGCCCCTTGTTTTTTGGACGTTACATAATTCTGCCAATGCTCTGGAAATTCATTAATCATTCTTTCTTGTGAGCTTACCGTCCTCAGCCAGTCACTCTAAGTCCTCTCCAAAATGTACAAAAATGTACAAAAAGAAACAAAATGTAACAACAACATCCCAGACTTCATATATCACAAAAAATGTTGTGTTTTTATATGATTTTTTTAAAGTGATTGTGTCAATAATCACTCATCACATTTCTACTGCCCATAGCTTGTGCCTTTAAACACAGTTCTCCAATTCTTTCATTAACATGGGTGCATGTCCAAAGGAAAAACAAACAGCAGGCATATGAGGGATTAAATAAAGAGATGCTTTATCAACAGTTGTCATCTGTTACATCTCCTAACTCTTGGATGGGAAGAGTGACCTATTGGTGACACATGGCTCTCTTCCTGGAAGGGGCCTCCTCCATCCAGGCTGGGTTAAAAGGCCCTTCTTCTCTCTCACAGAAATCCACATATACAATGACAAACTGCTGTCTTATTGGGAATATTCACATTCTTTGAAAGCTGGTAAATATTCATAATTACTCCTGAAGACATCCTGAAGTTGTCCCTCCGGTCTACATCTAAAAGAAAAAACTTTAGGCAACATTCTAATCAACAGTGTTTAATAAACTGGACCGCATTTAATGTAAACAGAGTGTATACAAAATGAAATTTCATTTAATACAGCTTTTCAGACAGTAAATGAAATTTTCCATTCCATGAAGTGCAGCAGTGATCAAAGGTAAACAGTGTGTGAGAAAAAACATGGTGCAAAAAAAAAAAAAACAACAACACATTGGTATGGAAGTTTAGGGAATGAAATTTGCAACATATAAACAAGGATTTCTTAAATTAGATGTCCCCAGTTATCTGATTTCTACTTCACATATAAACATGCTCATTGAAGACTAATAATTGCAAGAATAGTACACAAGAAATCTACAAAGACATAGCTTTCCACCTTAACTAAAGCCAGGAGAGGGAGCAAATTTGAACATTTTAATTCAATTACTAGGGAGTTAAATGTGTCACCTTTAAAGTGCCTATCGATCGAGTTAAAATAACCGCTTTGAAAGTGTTTAACAGTTTACACTGTGAGAGTGTTTTTCTAAATAGTTTAAATTCAACACATTCACCACACTAGTGGTAATACCAATGGAGCCTGGGCGTAAGTTCAACGGAATAAACTGATAACTCGCCTTCATCCACCTACGACACAGCCAATCAGCTTTGAACAACACCTCCATGAAAGCCAATCAGCATCCAAAGTTCATCTTAAAAGGCCTCCGATCCGCAACTCGTCTGCTCCTGTGCTCAGGCGGTGGATGCGCTGTGTGACTTCATTCAGATGATCCCGTTTCAACCTACCTGCAGCCCCTCCTCCACCATCGTAGCTAAAACTTCATTATGAGTTTCATTCCTCACAGACTCTTACTGCATTCTGCATCTCATTTCAACCTTTACGGCGGAAGACCGCTATTTTTAGCCTGGTTCAGCCAGAGGTTTCTTCCCAACGGGGAGATTTTCCTCTCCACTGTCGCTTCATGCTTGCTCATCATGGACAGGTTCTCTCAACCTGTGTTATCCAAACTGGACTTCCATCTTCCAGGTCCCTGAGTGAAGCTCTTGTATCAGCTCACACAGTCCACTGGATCTCCCCATAAAGATCAGCAGACCGTCTCACTAACCAGCAGTCTACAGACTAACCAACTTCATCTATCTCCACTCCACCACCAAATTCAGGCCTGGGGGGAAACAGCCATATTCTTTACTCCTGTTTTTGCATATCTATCAAAATTCAGGGCTATGTTTCCTGCTGAGGTCTGCGCACCAAAGACTAAGTGATTGTATCAATAAATTAATTATTATAATAATTAATTAATCCAATGCTGCCACAGCCGGCCTGGGGCATGTTGACAGAGGAAAGGCAGCTACCAGACCATCTGAACACCATCAACACATCACCAATGCAAGTCAGGTGTCTTACAAAAGACACGACAACTGAGGTAGGATTTGAACCGATGACAATCTAAATTTCTGGATCCTACGCCAAAAGGAAAAATTTTATTTATTTTTTTCCCGTATGTCTTTTAATAGATAAGAGTTCCCAAATAGGTTGGTATTCAGGGGGAAACTTTGCTTATTGTTTATTTTTAAATCAACAGAGTTGCTTATATTTATGAATAAACACCACCTGGAGGAACTAACTCTTGCAATTTTTGAATTAGACTAAACAGGTGAACTTACATCATACTTTAAACATATAACACCAACTCTGGGAATATAACACATTTGATTTTGTTGTCAATTTAATCAGAGAAGCAGCTAAAGAGGCCTAGAGTATGGAAGAGCAACAGAGATGCACAGCTCGGAGGAATTTATTGATAGGGCAGCTTTAGGAGAAATATTGTTGTTGAAACTGTTTTCTTTAGTTCTAATAAATACTGAAAACTGTAAATCTTTTTATTTGTTCCTTACAATTAAGCAACTTTTTTAGTTTGGTGTCCAAAATTCCAATAGAATATCTTGAATTTTTGTTTTTGTGACATGAAAAATTGCGAAAGGGGTTTATTTTATTTCCTTGATTATAACTAATAGAGGGGAAAAATGCATGTTTATGTGTGTTTACCTCGCAGCAGCTTTGCTACACTGAGGTCCATGAGAAAACTTAGGATGGCTGTCAACATGCCCAACGCGGCAAAGCCATACCACCGCATGCCACAGACGCTTCCCAAGCATCTGCTCAGCATTACCAGCAGCTCTTTAAAGATAAAGAATAGTGTGGGGTGCATCAAACTAAAATGCCTTTAATGTTAATGCCACACAATATTTGATTGAGATACATATTCCACTGCTTCTTCATTTGCATTACAAAGCTTTTGCTCTGAGACATTTGTTAGAGGACAACTCAAGTACAAACAGGCTACAGTTGCTAATAAGACTTTTCCACTTCTTAAAGAAAGAATTTAAAAAGTGTGAAAGAAATTATCACTGTACTTATAAAAGTAGGGGAATTTAGATTGATGCAAGAAATGCAGCTTGTTAACAAGAAGAATTATGCAATTCAGAAAATCTAATTTACACTAAATCTATTTGCAAAAATTACAGATTGATGTATCAGAAGACAGGATTTATTATCTTAAATATGTTGAGCCATATTAATGGAGTTTTCCTTTAACTTGTCAATAACTTAGATAAAATGTTATTTCATGTGCTCATTTTTCACATGACTTACCTTTGACATTTGCCCGGAGCCCTCGGCATGGTTTCCATGAGTCCAGCAGAAGTGGAGTCACATTATGGGATGGTTCTGAATTATTTTCTCGTTCCTGTATGTTATCTTCCTCATACGCTTCTGTCCCAGGTGATTTATTAAAATTCCTCATTTGGCCTTGAAAGGAACTGGAATAATCAAAACAAGAAATATTCTAAACTAGATATTAAAAAAAAAAAAAAGCATTCAGACTGACCTTCTGCTTGCTGGTCCTCAGTTACATCTATAAGGTTATAAAGAGGAGTTTGTGTTGGTGTAGATAAGTTTATACTGGGTTGTAACTGACCTCTTTTAAGGTATTTGCATAAATGTGATGGAGCAGTCACGGCTGACAGCGTAGCTAATATTAACTCTTTAAAGGGAACACTTCAAGGTGACCTTCAAGCGTCTGCAAAATATATTAAACATTGAAACACAGTCAACTTGCTTAGCCTTTCATCAACTCCTATTGACTACATTAGTATACATTTTTTGACACACATATATATATATATATATATATATAAATAAATATGTAATAAATATATGTACAGCATGATGAAAAATGGATGGACATTGACACGCTTATCCCTGCCTATCTCCAGCAGTCTATGGGTGAGAGGTGGGATACGCCCTGGACAGGTCACCAGTCTATCGCAGGGCAACACAGAGACAAACAACGATTCACGCACACAATCACACCTAAGGAGAATTAAGAGAAGTCAATTCATGTAACAGTCATGTTTTTGGACTGTGGGAGGAAGTCGGAGTACCTGGAGAGAACCCACGCATGAACAGGGAGAAAATGCAAACTCCATGCAGAAAGACCTTCTTGCTGCAAGGCAGCAGTGCTACCCACTGCGCAAAACGTTTTGTGTCATTAACAGCAAAGAAATCCTTCCAGCATCGACAAGTTGGTCACTGAAGGAATCTTTATCGAAGACCACTTCCACTACTTCATAACAAATTTAAACCATAAACTGATTTATTTTTCACTTTTCTGTATTTTCTCCTTTATTTTCAGCCATTTACTTTCAATACTACTCATTACCTTTTACAGTTCATTATTTGTTTTTGTATTAATCTGTAAAGAATCAAAGCGTTGGGTTTTAATTATGTTTTGTCTTTAATATCAAACATTGTTTTTGTTGTTTTTCAAATTCACCCCCCTTTTTCCCCTAAAGATCCCATTAATAAAATCACACATTTATCAGCAGTCCTGTAATTATTTTAAACTTTAGGAAATCAAGGTTTAGCCTCTGCAACATGTGGAAGGTCAGGGTAATCATTTTCACACCCTTTGTCTTCTTCTAATGAGCTGTTACTCATTAATTATCCTGTTATTTCTTCCGTGTATGTTTTTAATTAACACTTGTGTTATTTATAGAGCCTTGAAATCAGCTTGATGTGAGCAAAAGCCACACCATCTCTCCCACATTTGTATATACAAATAAAGAGAGCTCTTATGAGGGTATAACTGTTTCCATGGAAGCGGCACATAGAGACAAAGAGCTCGATGGAAATCTTTGGTGTTAGGTAGTTTTTCACCAGACGTATTGAAAGTAAATCAAAGTAAATTACGAAGCACTTTTTGTTTTTCAACAAGTAAAAATTAAGATTTCTTTTTTAAACAAGAAACACTAATCAAAATGTGCTTTATTTATCTTTGAGTTCAACACACACTGAACCTATAATTGTTTCTGGGAACCGATGAATTCCAATGGAGGAGAATCAAAGCAAACTCTTCTATTGTCTTTTAACGCAGATAAGTGTCATTTAAAAAATTCAATAAAGTTTAGTTTTAGTCCCATCGTTAGACTCTCAGCACCCCTTGTGGTGACTAAAGGATATAGAAATGTTAACCTTTTAACCTTAAAATTTTACCCAAATGTTTCTTTTTCATTGCTCTAAAAACCACTAAATCATTTTTCATTGCTTACTTAGAAGAATATAAATTGTATGAGTTGAAAAGGAGTAAAAGCATACAGTATATCACTTTGCATACAGTATATCACTGTGCTCTTGTCATTATCGTACATTGCCGTTAAATGGAAAGGGAACATCTGCAAAAAAGTTGTTTACATGGTGAAATATAAAAATAGGCATTGGCTTTAAAGGCAGCCCTGCAAAATCTCTGCCTACATATGGCTCCATAATCATCATCATCATCATCAAAAAACAGGGAACAGGCAGTAGATCAAACAACGTGTTGACAGTGTAATGAAAAGCACCACTTCTTGAAACATTTCTGATTTATTGAAGGTGATAAGATTAAGTTAGATTGCAGCCCTTTGGTGCCTCAGCTGTTTGTTTCTTTACACTTTTCTACTCTTAAAAAAGCAATTCACCTCAGTGCAAATCATTGCAATCCAAACTGAAGATAAATCACATGTGACAGTGTTTGTAAACTTAACCTTGGCTTCTTTCCCCAACTGTGAGCCCAGAAATCCAGAGCTGGAGAGTGAGGATGAAATCAAAGCACAGGGTGGCTTAAAAGGACACAGTGATGCATTTACACATTAATGCTTTTTTTGTTGGACACAGCATAGATTATGTAGCTTGAGAAGTATCCTACTGCAAAAGCAGGAATACGTGAAACCATGATGAACCCTACATGGAAAAAGAACATAGAACCCAAAAGCATGCATTTAAGAGAGCATAGTGGAATAATCTACCAGATCTTCTCTTTTACAATCACCTTTGTCAGTTTTTTTTTTGTTTTTCTTTTAGCTTTTTTTTCCTGTTCATGACATTGTTTCAATAATCTGTATCTGCAGTATAGCTTTGTTTCTCTACTTTTTCTCTAAAACATGTTTTGACCCGTACATCCAAGGTTTGAGAATGTGTCCTATATTTGGCTTAATGAGATGTTTTTCTTTAACCTGTGTTTACACAAACTGGTGAAAAAGACCAACAGCCCTTTGCTGAATCACTTCTGTGGTCCACAATCAATTCTCCCACTACAATATTTTTCTGTGGTATTTCTCAACTGCCCAAATATCTTGCAATTTTATAAACGATTGTTCAGTTACCTGTTTAACTACTTGTTTTCCGGTCAAGATGAGGCTAAAATGTTGATCAATTAGGATATAAACTTAGGTTACCAAGCTCTGTAGTAACAAATATTTTTTTATTATCTACTCAATAGCAGAGGTGTAGCCAGAAAATGTTAATTAGGGTGACCAGGCAATAACCAAGGTAAATGCTGAAAGCGGATTGACCCCAGTACCTCAGGGTCAATCTACACTGTTCCAAAATGACAATAAACAACCACTACATCCATATTTTCGAAAAAAAAAAAAAAGACTAACAATACTTTCCTACAGCCTTTGCTAACAAATATACATATATTTAAACATCCATGCTTTCTAATTTAAAGGTGTAGTTGAAAAAATTCTTTCAAGTTTGAGTTCTGGGGCGAACATCTTAATCATTGTCATTACTTACATACTTTTACCAATAATCAATCAGCATAAAATTAATATTTAAATCTACTAATATCTACATTAAATTGATTATTTATTATTGAAGTAGTTATTTATCTATGTTTTCACTGATGACTCCTAGATGACTTGCAAGGATGTAATTTTCTCTTTACCCCATAAGACAACATCTGGTTCCGAAAAAAGCCTGAATTCTGTTTCTTTTTGTTAGTATATTGATTTGCATAATTAACCACATTGTTTTTGTTGTCAAGTAACTGTGAATATATGAAAAATTTTAATGTTAAATAAGTAAGAACATTCCACTTGAGAGTATTACTGCTACCACCATATGTATAGAGGGAAAAATGGTAGGGTTGGCCAGAAGGATGGCCAATTATTGGGTAAGGGTGGCCATGGCCACTCCTCAGCCCCCACCTAGCTCCGCCCCTGCTCAAGAGGATGTATGTACTTGGGGGTTGCAAACCTCTAGTTGGTCACCAAGTGAAGAAAAACATGCCTTTACATTTTTTATCTCTACACAGGTGCTAAAGTTTGCATTAATACCTGATAACTGTGGAGTTATGCTTGATATATTCTTCATATTTTCAGGTGGGAATTAGTTCTAAAACCAACTGGGTTAATGCTGCGCCCGCGCCGAATGGTACTTAAGCATCAGTGATGTCTGGTTTTCATATGGTGAAAACACCTCTAGAGATGTTAGAAGGTCCTGAGAAGCATTTTATGTTTTCAAGGGTTTGACATGTGTCCAAAGTGATGGAAAATCTGAACAACCAATCAAAGAAGCCGATCCAGGAACTGTCTGGAAGACCATCAGTGCATTCCTCCTGTACAAGAAGGGACAGAGTAGGTTATACTTCCTACAGAAGGTTAGGTCCTTCAAAGTTTGCAACAAGATACTACATATCTTCTATACAGTAGCAGCTAATGGCCCTTCCCAATGAAACGCCAGCAGAATGGCATCCAACTTTCAGCCACTGGCCTTCTCCTGGGTGAGCTTTTTTTTTCGCTGACATCACCCTTTCACTGAATTACAGGGTCTGACCAGGAGAAGGTGCTTCTCTTTAGATCTTAATGTCCACAAATGGTGACAGAAAGAATATTTTATTACAAAGATTTATGTTGTAAAAAGGAACAAGCCAAGGACCCATCAAGGAAAGTGGGGACATTTTGAATGGCTACTACTCTAAGTCTGTTGTGGAGAGTGCGATCTATTCCTCCATCCTCTGCTGGGGTAACAGTATTACAGCTAATGACTTCAAATAGCTCAACAAGCTAATAAAGAAGCCTGGATTTGTTCTAGGAACTCCTCTGGAACCTCTGGAGAAGATTTCACAAAGAATTATTCTTCTAAAGTGAAGAACATTATAGATAACAGTGAGCATCCTCTTCAGAAGACAAACAGCATGTCTTCAATAAGAGACTTGTCCAGGTCCAATGCAAGACAGACGGGCTACAGAAGATCCTTTCTGACTACAGCAATCAACACCTACAACAACTCGATAAAGAAAAGAAAAAAACAACTATGAGTTACTGCAACATTTAATTTCCCTTTGGGATTAATAAAGTGTTTTTGAATTAAATTATTTTTGAAGTCTTTTAGATCTGGTCCTTGAGGAGATCCTCCCAATGAGCTACCACAGTAGAAGGAATGCACAAGCATATAGCCGCTGCTTTTGTCCCGTACAAA